CCGGAAATTTTTCTTCGTCATCTCTCTCGGCGGAATTTCAATCTTGGAAATATTCTCCCAGCCGAGAAGCGCCGATCTATATACATAAATTTATATTTTTTATTCCCTCGCTGTCTTTTCTAAATACCGAGGGGAAAAAAACATTGCTCTCTTTTTTCAGTTATAATAAATCTTCTTTCTAATCGGCAATCCGCTTGACTAAATGCAACTTAACCGTCGTCGTTTGCGGCCGCGTCTTATTCGTCTTTACATTCCCGGACGCGACCAATCTTCTTGTCTATTTCCAGCTGCATTCATGGAGAGATTTGTTGCGAAACAGCCGTTTCGCGACTTTGAAGCTTAATAAATTTCTTTTACATTTATGTGCTCTATAACTCATTGAAACGCACCGCCACCAGCAAAAGCTTCCATACGACCGTTATTGGACCGTGTGTGCAAGCTGACGTAAATCCTCCGTATCTTCGCCATTTTTCCGCTCGACTTCCTTTGTCGCGCACATAATTTATTATACCTCTAAATTTACGTAATTTATCGTCTCGTTTAAATCATCCCTCTGAAATTTTTGCAACAACAAACTGCATAATTGTTGCCGCATCTACAGTCCGCTATTCAGCTCGATAAGGATTGTATAATTATTTTTCCAACGCAACTCCATTCAGCTCTGCTCGACTTAGCTGGCTAAAGCCGCTAAAGCATTGGCGGGGGAGTACATCCCAATTGAGAAAATACTAGAATCATATTTTCTTTTTTAAAAGTGGAGACCACATTTTACCGCGATATTATCTCGACCATATAAAATTTGAAGCATAATTTCCGCCACTAATTAATGCGAAACTCCTATTCGTTATCACAATTAAACGTATACGTGCGAATATGCAGAAACACGCGGTATTAATTCGCTTCGCTTTAGCGATGTTACGCCTGTCCTTCGTTCACTGTTGCATCCGTAATTTATGACGTAACCAAATTTATTTCGCTTGTTATCATTTCCATGCGCGGGACCTAATGAATATTGTGCACGAGAGAAATGTAAACAATCTCTTTAGGGTAACAATTGTCGCGGAACGAATGAACGTATGCAAATTGTCAAGCGTGAGTACTATACAATTGTGAGTGAAATATACACATACACGACCGAAAAGATAAATCTGCAAAGCCTCACGAAATTATGCTGTCTTCAGATAAACAGGCGTTTCTCCTTGCGTTCATTTAGTATCGACTTACCTCGACGTACTCCATACGCGCATTACATCGAATACACATCTAATAAATTTTTTTACTAGCGCCATTTCGTTTGAAATGCATCGCAGATGGGATCGACAGCGCTTCACTGCCTGGTAACATCCTCCGCCTCTCTCCCACGTCTACATGTGAATGTGAGCCATCAATTTCACTTTGTATCCAGAAGAGAGATTTCAGGATAGCTTCTCGTCTCGTTATTCCGACACTCGCTTTTCCCCGTCCCATTGAAGGAGGCAAAAAAAGAAAACGGACGATTTTACCTTTGCCCTCAAAACTATTCACTTGTCCTGTCGCTACAAACTCTTAGCTCATTGTCTTGTTAAAGTTTTAAAAGAGAGGAAGATATTCTAGAGGGAATACAAGGGATAATTAGGTACATCGGTTGTCGTTTCATTGAAATCAAGAACCAGGGTTGCCACAAAATTGTAAACCAGGGAAATGTCAGGAAATTTTACAAAATTTTCTGGAAAATAAAAATTTCTGGCTTTAAAAAAAATGAATATACATACATTACACTTACACGGTTTTGGAATACTTTCAATTTAACGATTAAATGGAAACGGTATCAGCAATATTAATAATAATTTACATATTGCTGTCACAATAAGAATATAAACATTTTTTAATATTATTTTAAATAAACGTTAGGGAAATATCATGAAATTTTATCTGAAAATTAGGGAGAAATTATGAAATTTTAAGATAAGGAATTTGTGACAACCCTAAAAACATATATCCTATATCTTGTATCCTAAATCTTAATTTTTTTTTTTCGAATAATTTGAAGGGAATCTTTGCGAAAAAAAAGAAAGATATCGAAAAAAACGTTGAAATGCCAAGTGTCTCCTAAAGTCTATTACTTCTGGCGAATCTCTATAGTTCCGACCGGCGCGAGTAAATCCCCAACTTTGCAGTTTGATAAAAAAAAAAAGACGTTTCTTTGCATTCCGCAAATAATGAGAATTACGATCACGTCTGCGGGCGACTGATTTCGAAATAAAATTCGTTCTATTCGCCGAGAGATTATAATAATTCACCGGGCACCGTTACGCAGTCCGCCCACGAACCGTTCCGCATTTCTGCCACCCTCCCTCCTTTCTACCTCCCGCATCTCGCCCGAAAGGAGCAGACAGAGGCAATAATCCGGCCATAAGTTTCATCCCATCGTGCAGATAAGATTATTGCGCGACTATTACTCGAACTGAAAAGCGCTCGATTGAAACGGTCGGGAATCTAACAATAGGCAGTAGAAGCATGGCGTGCATCGATCTTGGTCTCTTAATTGTCGGAACAAATTAATGATTATTTTTTTATCACGATGAGTATTAAGCAAAAATTTTTAATACACGCAGTAACGAGATGGAATTTGTGCAATTATTTTTGTTTACTGAAGTTTGCAGCGTCAAAGTTTCACAATAAACGTAATTGCCTAATTTTCTAAAATGTTAGGATAGCTTTTATGCAGTTGTGTGACATTCATTATCCCAAATTGGTGTAATTAATGGACGCTAATGTCATTGAAATAACAAACTGTAACTTGTTTCAAAGGTCAGCGTATGTAATTATTTTCGGGAATGGAATATCGTAAAATGCAAAGGCTCCAAATCGACGTGTGTTTAAATCGGACTCCAATTTAATATTTAAATTTTATCGAATTGGACACACGCCGCGCCGTGCCAAACTGCATCAATCACGACGCGCGGGGTGATCGTGCTGCATCAAAGCGTGGCCGTGCAAATTTCGGCGAGGTGATTTAATGGTGATTCGTTGACGTTGGAGTAAACGCGTACCTCCGCGCTTGAATCGGGGATTAATATCTCGAATTTTCTCGCCTCGACCTATTTAACCGACCCATGTTCGGACTTTTAATTCACAAGCGACTGCATTCGTGCGTCATCAGGTGCAGTACATACACATATGTATATGGACATTTGCACCGACTGACACGTACGATTTTAGTAAATTTCTCTCCTTCTCTCTTTGTTAAAATCTCTCTCACCCCCCAAGAAACTGATTTCATAAAGAACGACGTACAGTGAAAGCAGCGCAGGGTCGAAGAGAAACTGCTAGTATACTTGTAACGCCGTTCTCGCACGCGAATCTTTTCACGAACGGCGTCCCTTTCGTCGAACACACGCGCCCGGGTGTTTCCATTTTCTTGCGATTTCGCACTAAGCCCCCCCGCGCCGTTTTCCCATAATGGGAATTTATTTCCAACTACGTGATAGCTCGCCCGGGGAATACGAAAATGAATGCGGTGATCGTAAAATAACAAGCTGCGCGCCATGAACCGGGGACGAACGTGTGCACGTACATACGAAATTTCAAAACTTTCTCCTCTTCCCTCTCTCTCTCTCTCTCTCTCTCGCTTTTTCGAATTTACTTGTTATTTTTAAATTTTGTTTTTCTATAGTCGTTTTTTTTTTTGTCGATATAGCTTCTTCTTTTTTTATTATTTTAACTGCCGGATGAGAGAGTCAATTACGAGATCGTCAGCCAGAATAAAATTCGCAAACTCATGAAGCGAAATTAATATTTCATCCTATGTCATCGCCATCATCGCCCGGGATTTTATGGGAGCCTCGATAAGCGCCGATTGTTATCGGCAGTCGTATGACGCGCATTTAATTTTTAATGCAATTGGAAATGTCGAATCGAATAACTCTCATTTTCGCCTCTCTTTTTCTTTTGTCTTTCGATCTCTTTTCACCTTTTCCTTTTTTTCCTCTAATTTCTCTCTCGTACATCACATTTTTTTCATCGATTCTGCGACGAAAACGCGACGCCGCGCCCGCCGATACGTTAAGGGAACTTTGTAATTTCCAGCGCGAATCGTAGAACGACCATTTCGACGGGCAGACCTTTCCCAATTGCGCTCGGTGATGCAATTAAAGTCGAGCCGCGGCAAACGAGATCTATCGGTCCTTTCAATATAATTGTTTCTATGATGCGACCGAACAGTATAATTTTTCCCGCTCGGTCATGTTCTTTATAAGGAATAGGACTTTATACAAGATCCACTCATTTCCACGAGTATTTTCAAAATAAATGTCGCATTTAAAAAAGAAGCAATTATTTTATTATTCAATCTTATAATTTAATTAAAATTTATCGTCTAAAAACTTTTCCTTTTGTAATTCAAGCTGTTTTTTCTTATTTATTTCTCTTTTTTTTTTTCAGTTTTGTTTATTGCGACATTTTCATTAAAGATGAGAATCAAGGCCTTTTCGCGCAGTGTTTTTAATCATCGGTTCGTTTAAGAAAGGCTGGATCGTATCTTTTTCTCACGCGAGCCGAGTATCTTTTGAATCACTCGCGCTTCCGACGCGCGTAGAGGATGAAATGGATATTGGGTGCAAGGAGAGAAAGAGAGGAGTTTTTCTAGCTTTCTGGCTGTCTGTTTTCGTTTTTCCCTCCCGAAGAGATCCGTGTGCCCCGAACAGGGTGAAAGAGAGGGAGATGTATCTCCGCGGAGAAGCATTCGAGCGTATTTTCGAAGCTACTTGCGCGAACGGACGGTCGAAGAACAAGAGAAAGGAGAGTTCATGTTTATCAATTTCAGAGATATCCCAAGACGCCAGATAGAATCGATAAAACCGCGACCCTGATAAAACTCGGGGATAAAACTGATACATACAGATATTGTTGTATCTCGATAAAACCCGGCGATAGATATCGGTCACAGTTTTAAAATAGATAGCGATGAAATCGATAGAAAGTTCGCCGCGGATATTAAATCTATTCGTATATCGTTGCAGGAATTGAACAGCCGGCACTTAGACCCTGTGGAAGTGTTCCGCGGGATACCTTACGCTGCGCCTCCCATAGGAGATTTAAGGTTTCGACCTCCGATTTCGCCGATACCTTGGAACGGTGTCAAGCTGGCAGACACCTTCGGCGCGGTGTGCCCGCAGAATTATCCGGACCTCACCAATAACACCGCCGCGCTCTTGCAGATGCCGCAAGGCAGGTATCAACAGCTCAAGAAGATGGTCGTTTTTATGGCCAACCAGAGCGAGGACTGTCTCTTCCTCAATCTGTACATACCCGGAAGCGGTAAGATTACATTATTGTCTGATTTATTATTATAGTATTTAATCATGTATTCAAAGTTATTCAAAGCACAGAAAAACTTGAGCAATAAGACGTAAGTAGTGAAGAATTTGCTATTGTTACGTTTATGTCGTTCGATTGGCGGATTCACTCATCGCTTACGTCTTTCCGTTTATATTTTCTTCTATGACTCTAGTCATCAGATAAACTTGTGGACGCGTGCAACTAATTGAAGAAGCGTTTTCTTCAAATTATTTTAGACGAGTGACTCTTTATTGCGCACATTGTGTGATCCACTTTTTCTTAATACTTCCGTTCATTAGGAATTGAATTATGACGTGATATTCTTGAAGAAATAGATTTCTTTTTTTTTTATAAAGGAAGGGCAAGGTCATACGATGAATAACATTCTAAAAGGGACTATGCAGAATTACGTTTCTATTGTCGCCTAAAGTACCTCGGCAGTAACGTAAAGTTCCTCAGTTCTGACAGAATAAAAGGGCTAATAAGTTTTAATGAAGGTCTTTACTCTTCGGGAAGGTAGTATAAAGCTACTCCACATTGAGTTAATGAAAGTTCAACTCTTGCTACCTGAATAAATAATGTATTTTTCACAACTTATTATTATTTATTCAAGCAGCATAGTTTACGAGCGTTGCAACTTGATTATCAATTCTCGATCGACCTTTATTTTAAAGGAAACTCACGCACGTATATATACCGTTATAAATTCTTAAAATGTTCTGTTATAAAAAATTAATAACTTTTAATGGTTCAACGCGTTCGTTCATTGTATGAGAACGCGGGGACAAAAAAGAGACTCAAATTGATTTCACGCTTAAAATTATGTATCGACAGGAACGTCCAGGAGAAGCAATCGACCGAGGTTAATTTTATACGATTAAAAAAAATTTTATGTGGCGGAAAATAACACGTTGCATTGGGACGTTATAAAGTTTTGAAGCTATACGACCATAATTCGGCTCCTGAAATTCTCAACTATATTATCTATCGGAGCCGACAATTTATGCGTCCGTATAGTATTACATGGCACAAGTTGCTTCCTAAAGTAATTAGTCCTAAAGTAATTAGTATACCTTTATGCCGGGTAGTATCAACCTGGGAGCAGCCGCATGCGTTACGTCGCACGTTACTCGGCGCGATGAAAGATAGAGGCGAATTTGCAACGTAAAGCGGCCGGTCTGCGCCGTAACCTCGGTCGGGCTACAAAGGGAAAAGGAAGAAGGATTGAAAATTGCGCGAGAGTTACGCGAATAACACGGATAGCAGGGTGTAGAGGAGAGTAAGAAGCTGTAAAAAAAAAGCCGATCAAAAAAGACTCTCAATCGAGTTTTCGTTGCGGGGAAAGCGACTGCAAATCAATCAAATCCCAGAATTTTCGCTTTGTAAAAAAACTCCAATTTTCGTGAAAAACCTAGCCAAGAGCTGCGCGTTCTATCACTCTTATATGACGCTTTCAGGTGTGATTTCAGGTTCAGATTTCAATTCCGGATTTTGTGACGATTAGAGCTCGATTAACGGTCGCTTTAAACGGCTCCTTAATATACGATCGCACGCTAAGTACAGCTTTGATAAGATAACTATCGATCGACATTCCGACAAAGACTGTGCTCCTCTGGATTGATCGATACTAATTGGGCTAGTTTTACGAGTTAACGGATAATCAAAGTAAAATCGCGGTGCGATTGAATTACTAACTACGATGATTGCGAGCTCACGTAACTTGGCAACGCGCGAAGCCACCTCTCGTGATAGTTTAGGATGATGTCTCCCTAGACAGGTAATCTGATGTACCTAGTATAAATTGTGTAACAGACAGACATTAATTAGTTGCGACGCGGTGGATGGATAAATGTGTATTCCTGGTTTATTAGTTGCTAAGACGATTATCAATTAAATGGAGATTTTTAATCTGGAAACCAAGCTGTGAGACGTACATGGAAGAGATCCGTAGGAGAGAGGGAGGAAAGGAAAGAGATCTAGCAGGTTTGCTAAACCTCAAGTACTTACAAACACGAAAACCTCGGAACGTGCCCGGATCTATAAAAAGCGTCGCGTAATCCTAAAGCCTTATTAAAACAAGCTTTTCGCTTTAATTTACCTCCGGTTTCAGCTTACGCGACGCTCTCGGCGTAAAATTTTACGTCTATCGTAAAAGACGAGCGTTGAAAAAAAGGGTATCCGTTTTATCAGGGCAATTTTCCAAATCGTATCGTAGCCGTTTACGACAGCCGCGGCGGATCCGTGCGGAGATGCGTCTCGGACAAATCCCTTCGTCGCGTAAACCACGATCGTGAGATATGCTTTTTGTGCGCGTGAAAAGTCACCGCCGCGACTTTGCTGCGTATAAATAAATTTGTGGTAACGACGATCGATCGGCGCGCGAAGTTGTTCAAAGCGAAGCACATCCGTCGTTCTTTCCCTTCGTCTCTCTTTCTCTCTTTCGGTAAATGAACAGCTTTAGACCCACGCGTTGCGCGATTTTTCTCTCTCATGCGGTCGTTCTACGTGCGACGAATTACGATACCATGGATGTGCTCGTTTCCAACGATTTTGCAAGACCGTGGAAAGATGTGACGAGCTTGTAGAGAATTTAGATCCTTATAGCGCGGATTATGCGATGCAATTAGTCATCTTAATTGCACAGGTGGCGAAAACGACTAATTGGCTGTAGGGATTTCATTTTACGTTTATTAGGAAACGGAATATACGCGAGGGATACTTGGGAGTAAATTTAGTCAGAGTACAAATAATATTGCGAAACGAAATTACAGACGCGTGCAGAGAAGAATGACATTCTTCTTGCGACGATGAGAGCTCGCTCTCTAAACGCAATCCCCGGTGCTTTACATTTGCGATTCGCTCACGAGAAAGAGGGATAAAACGGGTAAGCATAATGCTACGTAATGTCGTGTAGTATTACGGGAAATCTGTCAATGGAAGGTTTATACGGATAAGAGGTTTATTCGTGGAAGAAAATGAAAGAGCGACGCGGACACCCATTTGCCTGCTTACTTTTAGGATCTCGAGGACTCGAGGCGCCGTATGCGGTGATGGTGTACGTACACGGCGAAAGTTTCGAATGGGGATCGGGTAACTTGTACGATGGATCGGTCTTGGCGAGCGCCGGCCACGTCATAGTGATCACGCTCAACTATCGTCTCGGCATCTTAGGTACGTGCTACCCTTTAATCAACTGTCCCCGAAAGCATTTTCATTAAGCGAACCTTCGGACGCAACATTCCACGGACAAAGAAATTCCAAATGACATTCATCTTGCGTCAAAATACCGTAATTTGTACCTTGCAATTTCGGATATTTTTATTTATTTACAACTTTCTTTATTTCTCTATATAAAGCTGCTATATTTTATAGAATTTGTTGAAAGAATCTTTATACTGAATAAGGCTAAGATAAATAATTAATCGATTTTTGACTAATTATATATCTTTTACTATTAATACTAAAAAAACATAAATATCTAAATTTAATGTATGATGGACAAAACCAACGGAGTTAGGATACTGTGTTATATTTTATACTTTTTGCTGAGGATAACTAAAACCAATAGCCGAAACCAATAATCCAAATATATTTGTAATTTCTAGACTATAGTAATTAGTATGGTATATTTTCGAATTTAATATTTGTGCTCTTCTTACTGCGCTGACTCCTAAATAGTCTCCTAAAATATCATTGTTATATTTAATTATAAAGAGTCCATTTTTAGAATTTATATATTTTTTATTCATTATTTTATAAATATCTAAGTAAAGCAGCGTTAAATATTAGAAAAAGTTGCAGTGCTCTGTACAGCGGGAAAGCGCGTTCATTACGACTCCCACTTTCCCGAAAGTAAGTTCGTATCATTAACTAACTACTATACTCTCCGAAATAGAGAGATAGCTTCGTAGAAACCATTTACATTCTTAAGTCAATATTGGCACTTTGAAGACCCACAAATGTATCTCTGTCGTAGTGCGCTGCGAATATACGAAAGTCCGAAAATGTCAATTCTATCTATTTACTTGTCAAACTTTCTTGGTTTATGACTTAATAGCGTAACGAATATTTATACGCTTCGTTTAATTATCGCAGTTATGATTTACATTAAATCAAATCTTCACGCTTGTCGCTCTCTAGATTTCCCTTGAATTTTTTGAATGAAATTTTCCACTTGTTATAATCATCAGAAATTTTCATTTCTTAATTCGAGAACACACATCATTAAATAATAAAAGATCAAATTTAAACTAATTTCTTAAACAACATTTAGTTATTTTTAACTTTCAAGTGTGTCACAAAATGTATTAGCTCATCACACACAAGATGACATAAGTTGCATAAGCATAGCATAAGACTGCTGGACCGATGAACTTACTTATGTAAATAAATATGGCGTCTTTATGTCGGATGCTCATTGGCTCGACGGCCTTATATTATGCTTATGCAGCTTATGTCAATAGTGTGATGGGTTTAACATGAAATTAAAAAAAAAACAACTACATCACATCAACTCACATCTGTAGTTGAATTGCTTATTTTTAAAGTAAACAATGTTTATAGATTAACTTACATACAAAATATGTACTTAGTAAACAATAAACTAAATTAAATATATTCAATTTATATATTCCTCAAGTTAATTTATCTAAAAAAAATAGATTTAAATTGTTAACTGCATTGTATTATAATTTAGCTTTAAATTAACGACACATTGAGAGTAGAAGCAATAATTTAAAATAATTCATATTAGGTATAATTTGACATTATGAATGTAAGTCGCTTTTATGGCGAAATTTGCGGGCAAAATTTTATCGAACGAACGCTATCGCATCGCAAATGTTGCGTGAGAACGACAGACGAAGGGAAAAGAGAGAAATGCAATAAAAGAAGGATATTGTGAGATCCGCGAGAATGGTTGAATCGCGAACGATTTGGCGTTTTTCCAGGATTCTTGAGGACTCGTCCGTTCCCTGATCGAACGAGCGGATCTGGCGGGAATTTGGCTTTAAAGGACATCACGATGGGACTCCGTTGGGTGCGTGAAAATATCGGTGCCTTCGGCGGCGATCCGACCCGGGTAACTCTAATGGGCCACGATACCGGAGCGGCGCTGGTGAATTTGCTATTGCTCGCTCCTTACAGCAAAGGTAGGAGAGGAATCCCTAATGCAATTAGCAATTAATCCTTCGAACGCTCCGTCTGAACGCTCGCGTATACCGCGCACGAAACGTTCAATTCCGCAAGATGTTTTAACAGAACGTTCTTACGATTTAAACGTCTCCCAGTAATTAGAGAAGAGGAGACGCGGAAGAAACTTATGTTTGCAAACGATTTGCGTATCTAGAGGACGGTTGCCACTTCTCGACTAGTGTTACATTGGAGATCAATGGCTGTTTTACCAGAGATCCTATTATTTTGCCGGAGATTGATTGCCACTATCAAAATTGTTACTGTTTTTTAGTGCGTTCTCTAAATAAAAGCTTTTTTTGAAACCGGAGGAAAACCAATGCGCGCACCTAAAAAAAAAGTTACTAAAATTTTGAGCAGCCTCAGATTTTTTGTCAGCGTTTAAATAAGAGCATGTGCCTTTTGTCTCTTAATTTTAACTTACCGGCACGTATATTTTACAAAGTATATTACGCTATTCCTTTTCAGTGCACCATCAAAAATTCCCGTTGACAGTTTAATGCTGTCATTGCTCCGTCAGGCTTAACAGTTCACTCCAAGCGATGGATTATTGCTATATAAAATAAATCAATTCGATCAGCGTGGTATAAACACCGGGTGTTGAGGGTGGCGGAAATATTTGCTTGTCGAGTAACTTGATCCAATATTTACGTAACGCCGCTAACGTATTAATAACGTTGTTGTTTATGACAAGAAAACACAATGAAAAATGATACCAATACCGTGTTCCACTCAGCGTAAAATACATACGTGAAATTTGAACGGGACTGTGCGATCGGAGGTTCGATCAATTCACCTATCGGCGGTGATTTTCCTGGAAACCTTTTGCCTGGCGAAATAACCGGCAGGTTAGATGCGAGGAGACGCTATTTGCAGGACCTTCGGTAGATTAATCGTCCGGGGATTAGTTGGCGAGGGTCTCGTGGCGGAGACAACCGAAGGGTTGGTCCGTCCTCTCAAAAAAACATCACCAAGCTCGGGGTGACAAATTACAGGACTCCATTTTATTCGATGAGAGGAGAAAGCGAGATGAGACTTTTCCTTTTTTTCTCTCCTTTTCCCCCTTTTTTTTATTGTCGTTGGACAACACCGGCCAAAATTGAACGATCCTCCCAGCTTTTGTCCCTTCAGGTGATCGCGCGATCCTCTGCGGCGGTATAGCTACTCAGGCGGGGGACGTGAGGAAATTGCGCAATAATAAAAATGCATAGTCCTCGGAACGCTCACGGAACAAAAGCAGGAACGCTAAAAGCGTCGTAAATACATCGCCATGCGATAAATCCACACGAGCGCGATTGCAGTGTGATATAGTTGGACGCTAATTCCGCGCCAATCAGGCAAATTATGACTAACACCGTTACCCATACGCTTCGCATAATCGATGGTTCAGATTCATTCGGTTTGGTACATTTAAATATTCCATAGTCGCAATAATTTGGAAATAGTACAATTTTCTAAAATTATCTATAATGCATTTAAGTGAGATGGGAATGGGGCTACAGAATCTCACAAATATGTTCTTTATAAAACCTTCATTGTTAGATATAATATATCAAAGGAGTAATAATAACCCAATCCCTTGAATTAAATAACATTTTGATATTTTTAACTTCATATGTTTGAATCAAAATATATCTAAATCGAGCCATTTCTGCAGTTATGTTTTAATAACGTCTATATTAACGTTTGCACTTAGTATATAACTAACATTATGCACTTAAGTACATAATAAACTAAATTTGAATCAAATTTGTTTAATTCCAATGTACGTTTTAGTTAAATTAACGTTATATTGAGTAGAAGCAATGGCGATTTATAGAAATGATTAAAAATAGCTTAAATTATTGTGAATATAATTTAACATTACAAAACAGTTGAAATAGAAAAATGAAAAATATCTTATATGAGAATAATAACTAATGTAAATTTAACTCTTAAATGTCACACTTGAGTATAGCATATACCCAGCCTAATTAGGTTGTTTATAACTTTCATAAAAATGAATATTTTATTAACAATCAAAATATGGTGCATATATTTAAACTATCTATTCATGTATGTATAATTTATTTAAAACTAGTAGGCCATGCTATAGTTTATGTTACGCGTATTTTTATTACAAAATGCATTTTTATTACAAAATGACTGTTTATTTAAACAATGAAATCGTGTGATTATATATTAGTTAAAAATTATAGCGAAATATATTTAAACGAAAAACGGCATCGTTTCCTTTGCGAGAAAGCCCTTAATTTCAAAGTTGTCACCATTGATAGGGAAAAGCCGAAAGTGTAGTCGCTCAGACAGGCGGAACGGACGCTAAGAAGGAACACGAAGGATAAGCGGCATGGGGAATACGTCGTTCTCGCTGTGGTGGTCAGCCGGAACCACTCTCCCGTCTGGCCATTTCCCGGACCTCCGGTTGTGCCGGAAACAGCGCAAACAGTTTACATCTCGAGAAGGGAGCATCGCTCTTGGTTGTGCATTCCTTCCGCGCGCCATCCTTCCTCTCGAGGCTCGACTCCGGTCTTAGAATGAATGAGTGAGAGAAAGAGAGAGAGAGAGGGGACGGACCCTCGGGGAAACCGCTTTTCTTTAGCATCCCGGACGCCGTTGAGGTCAGTTGGTTTTTCCGACCTTACCGCACTTTCCGCTCCTTCGATTCCGATGTCGGCGCCGCTGGCGGTTTCCGCGAGACCAGGTGCGGTTCTATACTTCTTGCTGCTGCTGGTCAGAGATTGCGGGTACCGGCAGGATGCTCTTCTTTCGAAGAAGAAAATGCGCTACGGAAGTTACGAGCAAAACGGTAACGAAGATGCATCGATTTTTAATCCGTATTGAAAGAAAAGTCTTAATTTTTTTTCGTGTAATTTTCTTTCCGCGCGTATTAAATATTTTAGAAATGTTTAAAGCTTTTGGAAACCACGGAATTCTGGGATAGTCGTTGATTGCATGAAGAGGCTTGTACCAGAGAGAAATCTACTGTCACACTTTACTTCCGACAAACGACATTAGCTTCTCTGGCAGACGAATCATCTACAGTTGCTTAATATTGCAACGGGATGCGGCCCAAGCGGTTGCGCTCGGCTGGTCTAGGACTTATAGTTATGCAAAATTAATGAGAAACTAAGTGGAATAAATGGAGAAGTGTCGATGAGAGTTGCCGCTTGGCCACGCGATGCAAAAACATTAATAGACTCTTACATATCGTAACATATATGTATAATTATGAAAGGAAATTCGCGGAAATGCGTTGTTAATTGTTATACAGGGTATCCGGAATTTAAATGTCAAAACTTCGGGAGCGTGTAATTGATGTTGTATTTATTCACTTGCTTAATGCAGATATATTGTTCTCAAAATGTTATCAGTATACAGGGACAGCTCGTGTTGCAGCCAAACATTGATCTGCTGTGATATTTAATGCACTGCAGCTTATATTCGATTTCTTAATTGTTCTCTTGAGTTGATTGACAACAAAAAAAACTTGCTGCTTTAGGACCTTTCATACAAAGAAATCCAGTGGTGTCAGATTAGGTGACCGGGGTGACCAAGGCACTCCTTCACGTCCAAGAACGAAGCGATTATACGTTTTGTCTTTTTTGCGATTTTCTCCAAAAAAAGAAAGAAAAACGAAGCAAAAACGAGTATATTTCTACAGGACTTTTTTTTAGTTTATCGATCCCACCCGAAGTTTTGACATTAAAATTCCGGACACCCTGTATATTCGACGATAAAAGTATCGTAACAAGGGTTCCGGATTAAGTTGTACCGAAACTAGTGTAAAATCGATTCGAGTGTTACGCTGATTCCCAACGATTTTTCGCGGTATCCACACGCGGCGTTCCCGTGCAATCCGCTTTTTACCGGTGCATTTTGTTGTACTCGATACGATTACGCGGGGAACGGCTAATGGCTTTGCCCGGCGTTGCGTAAAAAGTTGCAAAACGATCGGTTTGGGTTTCCCGTCGATAACTAACCGTCGAAGGTACGATTGCTTTCCCACCGTTAGCTGCTGTCTGCCTTCGGCGGATTTCGATGTCCGATGATAAATGAAGACCGTGCTCTTCCAACCGGGTACTACCGAAGACATAAACGTTTCGTATTACATCGATCTCTCGTGTAATTCAGAAAGTCACTTCTTCTAGCCTTCCCAGGGGTGTTTGGGGCGCGGTTTCCCCGCGCCTCCCTTTCTCAATCCCGAGAAGACTGTCGACGTTACGTATCATCGCTCGGGAAGAGACAAGAGAAATAAGCTTCTCATGGCGCGGAGAGACAGTCTCGATTTATCGTTTCCCCCCGTTGTAATTTTTTATGAGCGAAGACCCGAGCGTGTGCAACACGCCTTGAAACGTCTTCTCTCTTGCACGCGTATCATGTCTGCGTGTGTGTGTAGATTCTTCAATTCTTAGAAGGTATCATCGTCTCTTCTAGCTGCTTCTCTCTACCTCGCGTCCGTTCCTCTGGTAGTTTCACGGCTCTCACGAACCAGAGATACGAGCGATTGGCTTCGTGAGTAATCAAGGAGGCAACCGAGTGTGATTCCTGGCAATTGTCTGATTCGCTGCACCCTGAGACGCATAAGACTCCCGGTTATCATGGCAACTCGAGTGTCTACAGCGTTTCGAATTATATTTGTGCAAATGCGAATTAAAAAAAAAACAAAGGAAAGGTAGGAGCATTTTATTCTCTGAGAATATCTCGCATGAAAACGGATCAATCAAGCTCGGGAAATCGACAGACTTCAATTGTATAAAGAAAAATAATGTAACAAGTTAATAATTCTGTAAATTCTTCGTACAACTTAATTATTTAGCTGGTTATTAAATGTACATTTGTGTTTCAAGAAATAATTACAGAATTTGTTATTAAAATTTATTATGATTAGAAATGTATAGTGGGTTTCTCTCGTGTCCCGAGGGAATGGTATACAGCGAGAAGAGCCAAGCGCTATGCAATA